AATTAAACCATATAAAATGACAAATTTCCTTTGAGAAAAGATAACATCAGAGTTGTAATACCTCCTTTAGAAAAAGGTGAAATTGAAATCAAGAAGGTATTACAACATAGAAAAATCAGAAAAAACAATGAAGACATTAAACAGTATTTAGTAAGATACAGTGGTACCAAAGAAGATGAATGGCTTACAGTTGATAAAATACCTGATGCTGATAAAATTCTCAGAAAATACGGAGCTGATAAAAGAAAATTACATTAATTTGTTCTTGGATCAGCCTTTTTTAGAGGGAGGAAGTGTCAGCCACAGAGTACATGTCACAGTACCTTTCATGTACCAAGTAACTGCAACACCTGTACTTACTTACATAAGTACATATCCATAATGTTGATTACCTTTACCTCTTGTTATCTTGTCATTATTATTAACTTATCTTATATTTATCTTATCTGTTAATTACTTATCTAGTAAATACACACCTGTGTTCTACATAAGTAATTATCACTTACCTTTCACTCCCTTGTCCGTGAAATACCTGTACCACAAGTTATCCCTCTGCTACAGTATTTTCACGGTCAAATATTATTACAAATAAATATGTACATGTATTAAATAGTAAGTATTAAGTGTCAATAGAATTAATACATTCAATACATGCACTGATCACAATTATGACTACATTATTAGAGGATCTGTTAAGTACATGCATCAAGAGCAACTAGTACATTGATCAACTAGTACACAATTATGATGTCACTTACAGATCATGACAAATAATGATCAGTCACTCAATTGAAGTGCTCTGTCAGCCTGCTACTAATCAGAGCCAGCCTGAACATAGCATTTACCTATTTAGAGATATTATTAATTACATATGTACATACAATTAAAATATTAAAATACACTATTTAAATAAGTTGAAACACTATAATAGAGACATTATTACACAGTACACTTACATTGTAAATATTTCATGAGAAAAACATCTAAATAATTAAATAAACTATGGAAAATAAAACTTTTAACCAGAATCTTTTAATAACTTCTGAACCTTAAGCATAACTCAGAGTATTATTGCAGATTCTGAATCTACATGCAAAATAACCTAGGGTAGCTCACCAAGTGTACCCCTGAATTATTACTCCTTCACTTACTTTGTAGTCCTTGAGTGATATTGGACCAAAATACACTGTAGACCCCTCCAGTTACATCATACTACATGTTGTAAGGGGGCTACATGTGTAATTAAGGTTCATGCATTTCGGGAAAAATCTACAAACAAGGTTTACATCATTGAAACCTTAACTACATGAGCACAGACTACAGTATTAAATTGTTTGGGATGATCTGTGGCCCTTTTTGGCCCAATTGGGACAATTACTCTCTTGAGGATCAACACATGCATCATGCAGTGCTGACATAGGCTACAAGAGTGTTACAGTTTCGTCAGAACACCCTGTAAACATGGTTACAAGTATTACATCATCCCCTTGACACCTGTAACCAAGCTCTACAGGTGCTACAGATGATCAAAAGCTCCCATAGGCTTAGTAGGAGAGTTGTAGCAACTAGAGAGGCTCCTGAGTTCGCCTCCAGAGGCCCAGAATGGGTATTTAAGAGCCCCTTCTTCCCCCTGAACTTTGATTCCCCATCTTCATCCTTACTTACCAGCATAAACCGTCACCAACACCCAGTATCAACCTGCCTTTTGGCCCTGTTCCTGCTGTTTGTAACCTGAACTCCAACCTTCCAACCCAACACCTGTTCCCCAGCACTCTTCCAACACCTCTCACTCACCTTTCTGAGCGCTTCAAGAACAGTCCCCCTCTCCTGAAGACCTCCTTGGCTTAGAGATAAGTACCAGTAAGTATTATCTCTTTGTTTCTTCAGTAGTAGACTTTTTTCTGGGTTTACTCCTTTATTACAAAGGACCAGAACTTCAGTACCACCCCTGCAACTCAGGACCTGAATTAGAGGGCACAGTAAAAAACCCCTGCAACTCAGGCCCCTCTGTAAATAAAAACTTAACAGTTTTTATTTACTACTTTCTTTTATTTTACACACACTTCCCCCACTTTTCACGTGTCACCCACACATGTACACATCCCATTTTTACTCTTGCAGCTAGTGTAGCTAGAAGAGTTCTGCTCTTGGCATCACTTAGCCTGACAGTGGTAGTATGGAAGATCTGTATGCATGTAAATCCTTGCAGATCCTGGCAAATCCGGGGTGTATTGAGTTGTAACTGTGTAATACGGCCTGCAGAACCTTATGTACACTTGAGATAACTCTATTTTTAGACTTCGACCAGGTGTATTAGACTTCGACCAGGTACTAATCCCTCGAGATGATGGGTAAATGAGGCTAGATGCGCTCACGCCGTAGGAATGGTAGACTTTCAAGGCTCAGGAAAAAAACCTAGTAGTGTAAACAGGGTACGGCGGATCGAATGGTCGACTCAGATTGTTTGTATCTGTTATGGTTCTCTCTCCGTGATAGTGTAAAGTGACTCAGACTGAAAAAATAAGACTTTTTGAAGGGACACGGACGTATTTTTTAAGGGTTTTTAATTTTTTCTGTGTGGATGAATCAAATGGAAATATAATGAAATATTTTTGTGACTTTTTGTGGCACGAGATGAGTAAAACAGATAGCGCAAGAATTTTATTTTGGTGTTTTTTGGTGTTTTTATTTCTGATACTAAGAAAATGAGATGAGATGAGATAAAAACAAGTCTAATTTATTCTAAATCCGTGAGGTCTATGATTATAGAGTTGGGTTGAGGTGGAGAACAAGCAGTAAAAGGTGGAAGAGTGAAGTAGCGGACTGTTCTAGACAAGATGTTAGTAGGAAGAGTTCTATATTTTGGGGTTTCTTCTAGCGCTGTAAAGAAGTTGTTTCTATTGGTTTCTACGGTTTTTTCTACTATGGACACGTCCTCTTCTACAAGATTTATGAGTATGTAGTCAGGGGAGTAGGTAGAATGAAGGGTACAATGGTAGCGCTTAGTTTCTATGTAGTTCCAAAATCTATCTTCTGCTTCTGTTACTTTTATTTTTTCTACTCTTTCAATAACTGTAATGTTATCCGGGTGGTTGTGGTAATATCTACTAGCTTCTTCTGCAATTGTACTATCTATTTGTCTAATAAATGGCAAAACTTCCGGCATTTGTTCTTCAGAAGGCCATTGTTAGTAGTAAATGTTTTGGGGACAAAAGGTTAAGAGAGCAAGGAGATATGTTAGTCACGGAATTCCAATTAGGCCAGACCCCCAATTGTCAGCCTCTGGGTAACTAACCTGAGTATTTCATAGTAAAAAGGTTGTTACTATGAGTTGACTGAAGTTTTTGAGCGTGGTGAGTGTTAGGTAGTGGGTGATTAATACCAGTCCTGTAAAGAGGAGGTTTCACTCTGTCAGTATGGTCTTTACTGAGAGGCTTGCTATCAACAGCGCATCCGGATCAATACAAGGTATTATTAGGCATCCAGGGTACTAAGACTCACCTGGGATTGATTTGGTTATTCCCAAGAGGGAATGGGCTAACAATACTTATTAAGCTTTAACAAAATTAGTTGAAGATTAACAAGTATTTGTTGATGGGAATATTCAGCAAGGCTATGAATACTGTGGATAAGTTGAGTAAGAGTACTGAAGCTTAAGAACAATAAAGGTAGACAAGATTTATGTTGGTTACGTGTACTGTATCAATATAAATGTTAACTGGTTTAACTGGTGTCTGGATATTCTGGGGATTAATCAGTGAAAGAGGCACGGATTATAAGTTCCAGAATATTGAAGGAGGGAAAGAATGAGCGCTCAGAATCAAGGGAGCTTTGGCCAGGAGAATGAGCACATCAATTGAGTGACTGATCATTATTTGTCATGATCTGTAAGTGACATCATAATTGTGTACTAGTTGATCAATGTACTAGTTGCTCTTGATGCGTGTACTTAACAGATCCTCTAATAATGTAGTCATAATTTGTGATCAGTGCATGTATTGAATGTATTAATTCTATGGACACTTAATACTTACTATTTAATACATGTACATATTTATTTGTAATAATATTTGACCGTGAAAATACTGTAGCAGAGGGGTAACTTGTGGTACAGGTATTTCACGGACAAGGGAGTGAAAGGTAAGTGATAATTACTTATGTAGACCACAGGTATGTATTTAGTAGATAAGTAATTAACAGATAAGATAACTGTAAGATAAATAAGATAAGTTAATAATAATGATAAGATAAAAAGAGGTAAAGGTAATCAACATTATGGATGAGTACTTATGTACATAAGTACAGGTGTTGCAGTTACTTGGTACATGAAAGGTACTGTGACGTGTACTCTGTGGCTGACAGGTAACTACTAGTAAGTGATGTCTGCTAAGTAATTATCTGTTTACTTCTCTAATGCAAGCATGCGGAAAAAAGTAAGTGTGAAAGAGTATTCTCTATATACATGTGGGTGGTTCTGATCAGGTACTAGTGGTAAGATATCAGCTGAAATAAGAAGATGGTATGAAATAAGTTGTATCTGAAAGACAAGTGGTTATGAAATAAATGTGGCTGACAAATGTGTAGTGTGAAATAAGCATGTTGAAAAGGAGAAAATATGAAATAACTTCTGTTTGTGATAAAAATAGTATGTAGTGCAAAAGGAATGAGATAATAAGGACTGAAATAAACATTCTGAGGTGAGATGAGAAATCTGTGTGGTAAAATATATATGTAGGTTATATAAGCAATGTGTAATAGCGGGGTTCATGATCAGCTCATGTCAGAAAAATTTACCGCAACCTCAGTATCCGCAATCTCTGCTGCTTAGCTTAAATCTGACACAAAAAGTAAATAAATTTAACCAAACTTGAAGAAATTAAAGCTCTCCACACCCCAATGGAAACATTCTAATTTATAATTCCTAACCATCCATCCTGCCACCCATCAACCACAACACAAAACCCCTCCAAACAAACCTTCAAAAGACCCCCTCTTTCAAAATGCGAACACCTAGCGAACGACAGCAGCTTATCTGTGATGTGTTCCTTGTCATGGCCTACCACCACAATGAAGAAACAGAAAACTTACTTGACAGGACAATGGGCCTGCCAACAACCCCGAGCTTTGCCAGAATTCTGTTTCCGACTAACCCAAGGCTTCAGTTTGTCTGGGAGATGCTATTTGAGGATGAGGCAGAGGCAGGTGAGATTCTCGAGTACATACTTCATCACCGATATTTGCAATCGCGAGGCCCTCCAACAACCCATGACGAATACGACCTTGGAAGGCTTTTTGACATGCGTGAGGACGATTTTAAACAAGCGGTTAGGACCACCAGGAGCGGTTTCATCTGGCTGCTCAACAAGATTCGAGGCCATCCTGTCTTCTACAGTAATAGTCGTCAAGAGCAACTTCCAATCCCCCATCAGTTGGCGCTTACACTTGAACGACTTGGATCAAACGGAAATGGAGCGTCGGTTGGTCGACTCTCTCGTAACCTGAGCCTCGGACGAGGCACCATTGTCAAAGTCAGCCAAAGAGTAATTCAAGCGATCAACAAAGCTTCAGAAGGTTTCATTTGTTGGCCTACACCGGAGAGACGAGCAGAAATATCTGATGTGATGAAGGAGGAGGGTTTTGAAGGATGTATTGGCTTTGTCGACGGGACTACGATTCCTTTGCACCAGCGACCTGGTCTTGACGGTGAAGTATACTGGGATCACAAGAAGCAATACTCCATCAACTGCCAGATCATATGTGACTGCGATAAATTCATCACTTCATTTATGGCTGGCTGGCCTGGGACATGCGGGGACAGCATGGTACTCAAGTCCATGAAGATCCACTTGGAAGCCGAGCGGTTTTTTGAACCCGGTAAGCAATCTTATCATAGCATTCAGCCAGAATCACACTGACAATTTGACTGGCTCGTTTTTCCTTTTTATGTGCCTGTGCAGGCCAGTATCTCCTTGCAGACTCGGCATATGGACTGTCAATGACAACGATCCCAGCGTAAAAATCACCGGCATCAAATATCCAGGTAAACAAAGAGTTTAACTATTGTTTAGCCAAATCCCAGGTACGGAACGAGCACACTATTGGTATCCTTAAAGGTCGATGGGCATCTCTCCAACAACTGCGACTGTGCCTCAACAAAAAAGAAGACATGCTAGAAATAATACGTTGGATCAACTGCTGTATATCGTTGCACAACATGCTGGCTCATCTTGGCGACGCATGGGACGAGATGGACCCTCCAGCTTTGAACAATGTAGATGCTCTGGTAGCTCCTGGACTCGGTGCTGAGGAAGCACAAAGGAATGTGATACAAAACAAATGTTTAGCATTTAACTACTCAATTGGGACTCTCCCCATCCCATCTTGAACCACATCTTACTTTTTCAAACTTCTTCTTTCCAAACTTGTCCCTGTTTTTTCATATTATTAGCCAGTTCTTACTTCTTTCACTTTGCTATCTTCAGTTCTTACTTCTTTCACTTTGCTATCTTCACCCATTCCCTCTCTTTGGGTGTTCCTTCTCCTGGAGGTGTATTTTTCTCAACAAGATCCAAACACAAACCTGAAATCATAATTGTAAAATCTCCAGTTTAATAAAGCAATCAATCACACAGTTTTGAAAAGGGGGCATATAAACGGCTGTGTAACCGGAGAGGTCAAAAGAGAGTTAAGATCAAAAGAGGGAGTTGGTTCAGAAGAGACAGGATAGTTAATCAAACCTGGTGGTAATAAGGTCAAGTGTTTGTGAGATACATTGTAACTGGAGAGGTCAAAAGAGAGTGAGGATCAAAAGAGACGTGATGGTGAATCAAAACCGGTGGAAGTAAGTGTGGACTGTATTGGTGAACAAGTGTGAATTTTTATGATAGAGTGCCCTGGAAATTGAAAGGGAAGAGGATCATTGAGATCAAGACCAAGAGAGAGAAGAGAAGATCGATCGGGCTGAAGACCGAGCAAGGGAGAGGATTGATCAAGCTGAAGGAAGACCGAGAGAGGATGCGGTTTTTTTTTTTGATTGAGAAGCTGAGATCGAGCGACCTGAATAGTGAGCTGAAGACCGAGCGAGGGAGAAGAGATTGAGTGCCCTGAATAGTGAGCTGAAGACCGAGCGAGGGAGAAGAGATTGAGTGCCCTGGAAATTGAAAGGACCGAGAGAGGATGCTGTTTTTTTTTTTTTGATTGAGAAGCTGAGATCGAGCGACCTGAATAGTGAGCTGAAGACCGAGTGAGGGAGAAGAGATCGAGTGCCCTGGAAATTGAAAGGGAAGAGGATCATTGAGATCAAGACCAAGAGAGAGAAGAGAAGATCGATCGGGCTGAAGACCGAGTGAGGGAGAAGATTGATCAAGACCGAGCGAGGGAGAAGATCGATCAAGCTGAAGGAAGACCGAGAGAGGGTGCTGTTTTTGATTTTGCTTTTTTTTTGATTGAGAATCTGAGATCGAGCGACCTGAATAGTGAAAGAGAAGAGAAGAACCATCAAGCTGAAGACTGAGCGAGGGAGAAGATGAATCGAGCTGAAGACACAGAGAGGGTGCTGTTTTTGATTTTGATTTTTTTTTGAGTGAGAATCTGGCTGAGATCAAGCGACCTGAATAGTGAAAGAGAAGAGAAGAACCATCGAGCTGAAGACCGAGCGAGGGAGAAGATTGATTGAACTGAAGACCGAGAGAGGGTGCTGTTTTTGATTTTGTTTTTTTTTGAGTGAGAATCTGGCTGAGATCAAGCGGCCTGGATAGTGAAAGAGAAGAGAAGAGAATATCGATCCAGCTGAAGACCGAGAGAGGGTGCCGTCTTTGATTTTTTTTGATAAGAATGATCAAGCTCAAGACCGAGAGACCGTGTTTTTTTTTTTTTGGAGTAAGAATCTGGAAGGGATAAACTGAGATCAAGTTGCCTGGAAAGTGAAAAGGGAAAAATTTAGCTGAAGATCAAGAGATGGTGCAGTTTGTTTTGAAAGATCAAGCAAGAAATTGAGGTTGGGCACAGAGAAGGAATGACAAACCTCAAGGATTTCTAGAAAAGACTGTCAATGAGTATTTGAACATCAACAGCGGACTTTCCCTGATTGATCCATTTTTTGGCAGCTTTCATTTTGGCTTCTTCCTGATTGGAAGACGCTCCTTTTTCCTTATTATACTTCTCCTTCTCCCAATTAAACCTTCTCTCCTCTAAGCTCATGTGCTTGTCGAGGTAGGCAAATTTGCGTTCAGACAAAGATTCAAAGGCCCCAGCAACTGTAGGTTTGGACTTTTGGTTGGTGATATCCCTCCTTGGAGCTGGGATAGATCGGTCAACACCGGGCAAATTCACGAACCGTCCACGAGAGGCTGAGCCCAAAGCAGGGGTAGAAGGTAATTCGACACCTACGTTGTTGGTATCATCGAAATCTGCAGCATCTTCTTGTGCGATGTTGACTTGAAGGTCACCCATAATTGATTCCATGGTGCGTCGGGGTTGATGGATGGCAGTGGTGGTACTCGCTGAGCCCTGAGTGAAGGTACCGTGCGGAACTGATTGTGTTGGGCTAACTAGTCCAGTCAAAAAAGTTTCTTGAGAGCTTGTGGGGAAGATTTCATGGAGGGAAGGCAGCTCATTGTTGTCATCTGGTTCCAATTCGTGATCAAGATTTCCTTCCTGTGAGGCGTGCGCTACATCAAGGCTTGGATCGATTTCGGGGCGTATTTGAGAGTATAGACTGGTGCCTTGCTCAGACTCGAAAAGACCGGCAGGGGTGTAATTTGCCTTCTTTCCAAAAATTGCATCCATTCTAGAGTAGTAAGGGCACTCTTCTTCCAATTGATCCTTGTATGATCTCAACTCATCGCCCTCCTGAGTACCTTCCCCAGTCGAATTTGATTTTTTCTTTGCATCAGAGAACTTCTTCTTGTAGGCCACCAGTCGTTGACGAAGGAGCTTCCCATCCAAATTAAGGCCACTGTGACTGCTATCGTTCATGTATATCGCAAAGCGTTCGTAAGCGGCCCCCTTGGTGATACATTTAGGACCAACATGGGTTTGAGATCCATCTCCGTGGATTTCAGTGAAGTTTCTTGGGTTCTCAAGATAAGTACATACAAGACCGTAGTCCGAGTACTGAAACAGAGGGCATCCACCTTGGGAATTGTGGGAGTTTGTTGACCTGGAAGCAGCCGGTTGGGATCGGGAGGTGGAGGGTTGGGCCTGCTGAGATTGAGAGCCACTCGCTACCCGTAGGGATTTTTGTTTGATTCTCTGCCGCTTGGCACTTGCGTTCCTGTCCCTCTGCCTGGCCATTAAGTCGTCTCGATATTCCGCCATCTCAGCTTTGGTCCTGCGCTTTCTCTTGGGTGGTGCAGTTCCAAGTTCGGGATGCTGGAGGCCTGATGGAGGTAGCATAGATGATTGGTTCATCTCCTAGGATCCAAGCAAGTCAACTAAAAAGACAATCAGAATCCCATTGGCAAAAAAAGTGGAGTTCAAAATAACTCACTGCAGCCCAACAGCAATGGAAAACTTCTAGCTTGTGGCAAATGATGATGATCGAAGAGGTGGCGGAGGATCAGGTTTCAGGTGATGGCAAAGTTCTTGGTTGTGGTTGATGTCAAGATCAAGAGAGTGGCTCGGAATTTAGGTGTCTGTTGGAGATTGGGAGTGGCTGGGGGTGTGAAGAATCTGAAAAGGATATGAGAGAGTGATCAAAGCTGCACTGTATGATGTTGCTTGCTTCCTTTGTGATGAGCTCCTTACCTAATTCAGGAACCTCAAAAGCATCCTGATCTCTAATTTAGCGCTTAAAATTAATCTTAATTTAGGCTCAGGATTTGCAAACTTAAGATTAATCTAAGCAGGGTCAGGATTGGTAATTTTGATCATGAACCCCGCTAATGGAGTGTAGGGTATGAAAGAAATGTAGTATGAAAGAAATGTAGAATAAAATAAATGTAGTATGAAATAAGTTTACTATGAAATAAATGTAGTATGAAATAATTGTTGTATGAAATAAATGTTGTATGAAAAGAAGAGGATGATGAGTGAGATGAGATGAGATAACCAATATCTGGGATGAGAAAGCAGAAGTATGGGATGAAATAATATATGGTGTTGCAAGCGGGTCTGGGCACAGGCCCAAGTTGGGCAAAAAAGGGGCCAAGCGGGCTTGGCCGATTCCCAAGCGCGCGTGGCGCCCTTTAAACCCAACTTGGCTCAGATTCAACCCTCGCTTGGCACCTCCCCAATTTGGAGGGGGTCGGACCCAAGCCACGCTTGGCCGAGCCCAAGCAAGGGTGCCACCCGCGCCAAACCTGAACTCACAGGTCAGCCAGGTGGGTCGCGGGTTTGGTGGTGGTGGTAGTCGATATTGGTGATCTGGTGAGCCCAGAGCTTGGGTTCAGCCAAGCCAGACTTGGGCCGGTGCCAAGGTCCGACCCCGCGCGACCTGCCAAATCAAGCCCCCTGGGCGCTGGCCCAGGCCCCGGTGGCGCGAGGACACGCGGGACTGGGGCCTGTGCCCAGACCCGCTTGCAACACCATATGTAGTCTGACTAAGTAGTATCTGAGATGAAATAACTAATGTTTACTGAAAGATTATTATCATAGAAAGAAGGTACTGAGGGAAGACTAATTTGTATGTTGAGATGTGTGTTATGTATTATGTTGTAGCTATGAAGTACTATATATTACGTACCCAAGTTATGTGTAAACAATACTATTTTGTAACCTTCTGAGCTGGATACAAGATAATGAATTATGTAGCACAAGTATATCAGGTTGTAACATTATAAAAACTACTATGTATAACTATGTTGTACTATGTATGACCTTGATTGGTCTTACCACACCGGAAGGAAACCCTTCCGGGCAACGGGGTAGATGTATGTACCTTGCTGATCAGAAGGGTTTCCTTCTGGTCAACAAGGTACATGTACCTCATTGACCAGAGGGAAACCCTTCCAATCAATGAGGTACATCTACCTCATCGACCAGAAGGAAACCCTTCCGGTCAACCTGGCCGGGACGCTGGGGTTCCCCCCAGCCTCAAGGCAATTGTTTTCTTTTTTTTCTTCTGTTTTTTCTGTTTTTTCTTTTTTTTCTTGTTTTTTTTTTTTCTTTTTTCTTTTTCTTGTTTTTTATCTCTTTTTTTTGTTTCTCTTCTTTTTTCTCTTTTCTTTTTCTCTTTTCTCTTTTCTTTTTATTTTTCTTTTTCTTTTTCTTTTTCTTTTTCTTTTCCTTTTTCTTTTTCTTTTTCTTTTTCTTTTTCTTTTTCTTTTTCTTTTTCTTTTTCTTTTTCTTTTTCTTTTTCTTTTTCTTTTTCTTTTTCTTTTTCTTTTTCTTTTTCTTTTTCTTTTCCTGTTTCTTTTTCTTTTTCTTTGGGCCTTAATAAAAAAACCCGCATTTTCCGTGTTTTGACGCGCTTTTGCTGCGGCACAGCACACCCGCAATCCGTGTTTAAACCCGCTTTTTTAATTAATTTATTTTTGCCATTAATTTTAACTTTTTTTAAGCTTTTAATATTGTTTCCTAGGTGAAAAAATGCGTAGAATTTAATGGTGAAGTCCATTTTCCAATAAAATGACTTTTGATTATTAATTTTTTTTTCCACTTATTTTTCAATTAATTGTTTACATACATGTTTCTACCTCATTTTTTATCCTTTTTTGAAATTTTAAATTTATTTCCTAGGTTTTAATGTGTGTGGAATTTAATGGATTAATCCAAATTTTTCAAAACTCAATGGTTCATTTTTAATACTGAAATTTGACATTTTTTTTCACTTAAATTTCTACAGGTTAATTTTCATTATCTTTTGACATTTTAAAATTTTCTCCTGCACTTTGAGACATGTAAAAAATTATGGTAACAACCATTTTTTCCCAAAATGAAAACTATACCTTGAATGCTGCATTTGACACATTTTTGTTAATTAATCCTTCACGTTTTCACTTAATTGTTTGTATACATCATGCATGTGTGTACCTTATTTTCTATGCTTTTTTGAAATTTTCAAGTTTTTTCCTACATTTAAAAGTGTGTAGAATTTAATGGTAATATTCAATTTCCATTAAAACTCAATGGTTCATTCTGAATACTGTAATTAGTCATATTTTTCAATTGATTTTTAACAGCTTAATTTTCATTATTTTTTGACATTTTAAATTTGTTTCCTACACTTTCAGACATGGTAAACATGATGGAAGCAATCAATTTGCGTCAAAATAAAAACTGTATCTTGAATGATGCCTTTGACGTATTTTTTGAATTAATTCTTACACGCTTAATGACCCTTATTTTTTGGAATTTTAAGCTCATTTCCTACACTTTGAAAGGTTTCAAAATTGATGGCTGTATCCATTTTGCATTCAAATACAATCTGTATACAGTACAAATTATGCAAGAAACGGGGTACACTCACGTATTATAATTGAAGCTTGTATTTTTATGGAAATTGGAATTCACAATTCAATTCTACACATCTCTAAATGTAGGAAATGAATTTAAAATTTTGAAAAATGATTAAAATCCAGCCGGTAAAAACCAATCAAAAAAAAAAACTTAAAAAAAACATGTCCAACACAGTATTCAATAACAGTCTTTGGTTTTTATGCAAAATGGTTATTACCAGCATTTTACTGATGTCTTAAAGTGTGGGAAATTAATTTAAAATGTCAAAAAATAAGGAAAATTAAGCTGTAAAAATTTAAGTGAAAAAAATATCAAATTTCAGTATTAAAAATGAACCGTTGAGTTTTAAAAAATTTGGCTTGCACCATCGAATTCTAAACGTATTGAAACCTAGGAAATAAATTTAAAATTTTAAAAAAGCATAAAAAATAAGGTACAAACATGTAAGCACACAATTAATAGAAAAAATGAGTGGAAAAAAAAATTAATAATTAAAACTCATTTTTATGGAAAACGGACTTCACCATTAAATTCTACGCATTTTTTACCCTAGGAAACAATTTTAAAAACTTGAAAAAAATTAAAATTAATGGCAAAAATAAATTAATTAAAAAAGCAGGTTTAAACACGGATTGTGTAGAAAAACAGGATATATTACTGAAAACAGAACCAGAACTTCAAGCATAAAAACAATGAGGAAATTAGATGACACTGTCATGAATAGAAACAATCTGATGAGGAAGAGAGAATTCAGAGTGAAAAAAGCATACCACGAGGATTTTTAATCTGATAAAGAGAAGACAAGCTGAAGTAGAGAAGATCAAATAAAGAAATGTAGTAGACACTAGAAGTCGCAAGGAAGAATAATAGAGAGTGAGCATGGTGTGTTAGAAGGATGTGATAGAGATAGATGAGTCGGTTGATTTTCTCACCAAATTGGTAATAACCAATTGAGAAGGTCTAGAGTTGAAGCGGGAGCTATCAGAAGGTATTTGGATGCCTTGAGGTGATAGTCGAGATAGTGTTGAGATTGGTGAGAGTGTAGAATCAAAGAGAATAGAGACAAGAGAAACAAGAGAGAAGAAGGAATGATACGGAGTCGGATAGGAAAGGATAGTCGAGGGTATGTGAGTCGAGTTAGTTGGAGAATGTTGGCGGTGAGTTGTTGAGAGCGGGGCAGCACGTGGTTGATGGTTGAGAGGAGTGGTAGCGGTTGGTTAGAAGTAAGGGAAAGTGTGCTGCTGAGAGAAGGGAGCCAACTTGGGTCGTGGGAGAATGAGTCGAGCTTTTATGTGTTTGATGAGGTTGTTTGAGTTGTGGTTGAGGTTAGGTTTTTGAGAGAGAGCGAAGAGCGGGAGAAAGATAGCGAGAGCGGAGCGGGGAAGAATAGAGCGGAGAGAGATAGGAGCGGAAGAAGAGAGCGGAGAGGGATAGGAGCGGAAGGGAAGAGCGAGCGGAGCGGGGGAAGAAGAGAGTGGAGAGCGGAAGGGAAGAGCGAAGTGTAATTCCAACAGATTGCGCGTGTGCTGTGCCGCAGCAAAAGCGAGTCAAAACGCGGAAAATGCGGGTTTTTTTATTAAGGCCCTTTTCTTTTTCTTTTTCTTTTTTTTTATTTTTCCTTTTTTTTTCTCTTTTCTCTTTTCTTTTCTTTTCTTTTCTGTTTCTTTTTTTCAGCAATTACAAACAGTTTTTTTGAAATTCTTTTCAATTGTTTTTGACTTGATTTTTTTATGTTTTTAAAATAAAATGATAGTCACAAAAAATCCCCCCAAAAAAAACTCAACCAAGATGCAAAAGGATTGTAATGAACCATGCAGTCAAACTAAGTGAGGAAGAGAGGGGTGGTACCCGCGGTACCTGCCAAAAGTACCACTGGTACCCGCCGGGAGGTGCCTGGTGCGGTACTTGGTACCTATTTTCTGAAATAAATCAACAGGTACCCGAGTGCAAACAAACGATCTCTATTTCTAAGAGTCACAGATTAATAAGGAAAGGGATTTCATAATCAGTTCAATTGATTGATCTCACAATTTCTTTCTTCTGACTCTTGGTTACAGATTACAAATCTAGGATGGTGTACCTTTACCCAATTGAACCTCCATAATTTTCTTCTCCTGTCAATAGATCTTATCTAAATTATTATTAGACTTGTGTTTCCTTTATTTCATGACTAGGTTTTAGAGGTGGCTGTGCTGGCCTTCATACATTGAGCATCATGATTTTATGAAAACTGGAATTACAATGGCACATTCACCTCAATCTCCAATATCAATGAAACTTAATGTAAAAGCTGTTTTTCAAATCTTCACTAAAACTGTTGAAGAACACATCCTAGAATCAGAGCCATTTGCTCTGGAGACCAATCTTAGAACCAATGATTATTATTTTGTCGTAGCTAGCTCAGCAATAGGATAAATGAAGTTGGGTCCCTCTGTGTTAGTAATGTATACTGATAATGAGAAGAAGAAAGAGACGAGGGAAAAAGAAGGAAAACACTGAAAGGAGAAAATGAGAGGACAGAAGTTATATATTATGGATATCTGGGTGATATCCATGAATATCCTCATGGATATCCATAATCCACAGGGCCATTGATTCCCCCGAACCTGTATCATGGGATTATTGGATTGTCTAGAGCAATATCAATCCTGGGTTCCCACAAACCAACGGTGGGCCACTACACTAACCGTAGTGGTTAGTGTAGCGTAACGCAGAGGAATTCCCATTAGCGTTAAGCATAGAGTAGCATAAATCCCCCACAACACCACTAACCCGCTAAAAGTTAACTAACACTACAATTTTTTGATGCAAAAAGGTGCCGCTACACTACGCTTTTTGGGCCAAAAGCGTAGTGTAGCGGCCCACCGCTGCACAAACCCGTGATTGGATTGCTCTAGAAAATCACATTCCTCCAATAAATGGGGATTGGACCAGAGATCAAGCCAATCCGCGTACCGCCAGGAAAAAACAATTCTCACCTGATGACAGGTGACATTGTGTAGCATTGATTACAACTGCAGTTTAGCTCCAGTGGTACTCCAATCCAACCACAATGGCCCCTTTGTGCTCTTCAGGGGGCCAAGCTAGATTTGAGCTGGGTACATACTGGGTAGCATGATGAACTTAGCCTGATGTCCAAGCCGTCTCCGTTCCTTTTATCTTCTGCACACATTTCCGGAGGGATGAATTCTTGGCCACTAATGGCCGAGAAGACTTCTCCGTGAGCTAACATGGTCCCCGTCTGCTAGACGGGTTTTCATGCTTGCGGTGTTTGGGTCTCGGGGAGAGCCTCGAGTCACAGAAAGGGGGTTCCCCTTCTGGGAATTTTCCAAATAGAAAAAGATTCACCAGAAGGTATCCTTACGGGACGAGACTCTGCTCCTGTAGCAGAGAGAAAAGCGCTTCGCTGAAGTGACAGCAGAGAGAGGGGGGGAGGTTCGTGCTACACCTCACTCTCTCAAACGGGTGGGCGGGAGGACTGAAAAATCTTCCGTTCTTCGACGCTGGTCCTGATGCCGCGTTCGAGGAACTCCAAGCGAGAGATGAGTGCCGAGCGATAAGTGAGAGCCGGACGTGGAGCTTGAGGGGGGAAGAATGGATAGCGGCGGAGTCTTAGGACGACGGGAGTGGGGGGAACTGAATCTCTGAAGTCTGAGCGGGCATGACTTCGATACCCGCTATCCAGTCCAGGCTACCTCCAGGCACTCGCGTGCTTGGACATTGGTGACATCCCCTGCTGGTCCTGTCACCTCCCATCCAAGCCGTCTCCGTTCCTTTTATCTTCTGCACACATTTCCGGAGGGATGAATTCTTGGCCACTAATGGCCGAGAAGACTTCTCCGTGAGCTAACATGGTCCCCGTCTGCTAGACGGGTTTTCATGCTTGCGGTGTTTGGGTCTCGGGGAGAGCCTCGAGTCACAGAAAGGGGGTTCCCCTTCTGGGAATTTTCCAAATAGAAAAAGATTCACCAGAAGGTATCCTTACGGGACGAGACTCTGCTCCTGTAGCAGAGAGAAAAGCGCTTCGCTGAAGTGACAGCAGAGAGAGGGGGGGAGGTTCGTGCTACACCTGAAACTCAGGGAGAAGCCTGAGCCTACGCGAAACCCCCAACTTCGAAGCTGGATTTCTCAATGCCCGAGACGGGTGGGGCTATCGTCTAACTGTCCTAAAATACAAAGTGTTACTCGCAAATCTTCGTTTGAGTACGGTTTTATGTAGAGCTTATAACAGGAGGATGTCCACCGGCCTAGCTTGCAGATCGTGGCTATGTCTACCTCCAATGCATTGCGCAAGGAAGCACCACCCACCCTGAAGGAGTGGCCGGAGAGGTGGGTAAGGCCAATCCCTCTCCACGCTGATTGCAGGCGTCTGGTGCAGTAATTCTTTGTTAGGTTTTTCCGTGCCGTCGTGGTGTCCACCCCGAACAGCGAGTCTTCCGGCTTGCCGGATGCCACTCTCCTGATTAATGCCCCTACTGGGCAGAGAATGTTGTTCGTCGCTGTGACTAGGAGACGCTGTACCTCGCCTCCCGTGGCTGTCTTTGCGAAGTAAATCTTGATCATGGCGGATTGAGAGTCTTTGGCGATTCGAACATCTGAGATCCGTACTCCTTCGTCCTTTTCCAGTCGTCCGATACCGATATCGCACGCCAGTTCTCCAAGCCGAGCCATGCTCCAAAACGCAACGAGCGACATGTCGAGTAATACTCTCCCGAGGTCGTCTCCCTTTGACAGGTGACCATGAAGGAGCAGTAGGTGTTCGACCATAACCGGATGTTTGGTCTTCGCTCTGATTGCAAGCGCGTCCGCTTTCGCTGATGCTTTCAACATTAGGGCCACTTTCTTTTCTGATAGCATGGGATAGTCGGTACCGTGATAAACGTGCCACGCCTTCAGCCCGTGCAAGTACTTCGTTAAAGTAACCCCTGATATCTTATCTGGCGTCGAGTCGCCTCCGGTCCTACCTGCCCAGTAGCAGAATTCATATATCTCGTCTTCTGTTGCTGGTAGTTCGAATCTCCTCTTGATTTTTAACCGAGCAAACTTTAGGAATTTTCTCACCGCTGAGTTGTAGCTTCTAAGCGTGCTGCCTCTCCACCCATTCAACACGTGTTTATCCAGGGCTGAAGGTTCCTTCAACGAGAGACCCGTCGAAGTGAAGTCTTTCATTTCGTGTGGTTAACTCAAAAGAATAAAAAACGGATTACGAAGAGGAAATGCAATGATAATAAGAATTTAAAGATGTTGGCAATGGTTGTGGAAAATGTCGGTTCATCTGAGTGTGAGAGAGAAAAACAATGGCTAGATGAGGAACACAACTTGGGAAAGGATTCCCGTGAGATCAGGTGGTATTTCAATAACCACTTGTTGTTTCACATGTTGTCCTGAACGAATGCCCCTGGATAGCAAGTCGGCCTTGTTATCTTTGGATGAAACCCTTTTCGCTAGTAGTTCGACGCCTTCGTCAATCAGGATTCTCTGTATTTTCATCCATTCTGCATTCGCCAGCTCATCCCTCGATTTCTTGTTGTTGATGCCGTTTTCGGTCGTCGTGTTGTCTGTCCACACTACCAAAGTCTTGCCCCGTTGATTCCTCAGTTTCAGAATCATCAGTAGGCCAAGGCGAATGGCAACCGTCTCTAAATAGGAGATCCGCAGCGGATTTGATTGAGGGTCCTGTAACTTGAATTGAGCCCATCGTTTACCGATCAGAATTCCTATTCCGAAAGAAGTAGAGGCGTCTCCGACCCAGCCTACGTCTACAGGGGGTCCGTAATTGATTATTCGGGTGTGTTCGAACGATTTGAGAGTATCCACCCACAACGTCAGATCTTGGAAAGCGTCTGGGGGTGTAGCCCTCCGAGCCTTCCGTATCCTCCAAGAAATTAGCCATCGGTACAAGGAGCATAGATGGCACTTCAGATGAGGCAAGATATATGCCACGTGATTCAGACGTCCTACTAGTATTTCCACGTCTTCGTAGTCGAAGTTGGCCTTACTTTCCAAGAAAGGAGTTATTTGGCTGATTCTTTTTTCTACTTTTCCATCGGGTAGTCTCACCGTCTTTTGTACTCCATTCCATACAAAGCCAATGAATTTTTGTTCATCTTGAAAAGGAGAATATTTCTCTTTGTTTGTTAATACACCTAACCGCGAAGACATGTCGACAACTTCTTCCATCGATATCTTTTCGCCTTGTAATCTTACAAATAAATTATCATCCACCCATCTGAAAATGTTGAGTAGTTTGAAATGTTCTTTCATAATCTGTTTCCACGCGTCTGCAGGTCGTCCAAAAGAACCGCAACCTGCTACGCCGCCAAAAGTAATTCTTGTGTCCAAAAGAAAATTGCCGTCGAAATCCTTGACTAACAGGTACTTCCATTGATCCATCTGAGTAGGAATTTGTCTGTAGGCTTTTTCCCAGTCGAACAACGCTAGTTCCATCTTTCTATCGTCTTTCGCAAAGAAATCTGAAACTATACGAAAGTCGTCCCATGTCGTTTCGAAGTCGTGTTTATTGACGAATGAGTTTACCGATCGTACTTCTGGATCGTACCTTGGAAAGGATAAATCATTAATTGGTCTAATAGCTCCGTCTCCATTTACTACTGCCCCCAAAGGATTTGACCGAAAGAATTCGAACTTTTCCATTATTTCAATTAGAGGAAATGGGCCGAACATCCTTTTTGCTAAGATTTCTTTTCTGATTGATTCTTCTACTTTTGCTTTTACTTTCTCTGATGAAGTGTGGTTATCTGGTGTGTAGTATCTCATCCCACGTATCTTGTGTTGAGGGATACCTTGATCAAAGCCAAACTCAAACCCGCGGAGTACATCGTCGTATTCTGGTAGCAACTTATGTTGTATCAACGCTGTCTTCCAGGCCCCTAAATTCATCTCGCATCTCACCTCCGTCGGCCAGTGCAACTTTTGCAAAAATTTTGAATTTGTCATTGATAATTCTTGAGATTTGAGGGATGCTTCTTTTGGTAGACACCCTTTGAGTGAAGAAATGTAGGATCTATTGACGCACAACAAAATTTATCATACATACAAGTATTATAAATACACAACTGACAGAATTTGCCGCTTATATGTGAAACATATGACAACTGAAATGGTTGCCTACAAATTCTCCTTATCTTTTCCCTTGGGAGTCTCATTTCTTCCTCCCGCCTTAGAGGAACCTCCTCTGTTGGAGCCAGCCCTATCTCTCCCATAACCCCCTCGATGTTCATAACCACCGCGTTGAGTCAGGTATTCGTGTCTTCCTTGGGAGTTTTCTTCGCTTTGATGGAAGTCTCGTGGGCGTTTGTTGAAACCACCGGTGTAATCGTACCCGTAAGATTCGTCCCGATAGCTTCCGTAATCTGAGTTGCGTCTCTCTTGATGGAATCGATCAGACCCCCTTTGTCTAAAATTTCCCCTGCCTCTCGTACTTCTATTATCCTTATTATCTGTATGATGAGAGGCTTCATCGGCTTTTTTCGATACCTTTGGTTTGCCGGTCTTTGGGTCGAAGTTGAATTTAGGGCCGTCTTTTGCGTACGGATTATCTGAGAAGTCGAGTTCGTCTAGATTTCGGGTTATCTTCCAAGCCTCTCTCTTAACATCCTTCCTGAATATGGATATGTCCACCGCCGACGTTCCTAAATCCGTCTCTACTTGGTACGAGAATGCGTTTTGTCTGATGATCAAATCGTATCGGAATCCTACCAGGAAGCCGTCCTCGGCAATGATTCTATCGACATTTGCTTTATGTTCTAAAATCCACTCAGCGAAGTCAGGGTAGTTGTATAGATCTCTGAACGTGACGTGGAAATTACGATGATTTGCGGTCCACTTCGCAAAAGTTTGAGTCCATTCGTTTGGGTACTCGAACCCGGTGTAATTCCCCTCCTTTTCATCTCCTTTTGACCTCTTTGTGGTGTGGAATTGGATGGCATCTTCCTGCCATTTCTTGTCGAAAATAGTTAACGGGATTGGTCCCCGTAACTCCCTGATGTTCTTATCAAAGTAAGGGGTGAAGCCGACGTCGAAATGTTTCGGTAAGGACCCTCTGACAAAGATGATGGCCGTTTTGTCGGTCGTCTTTTTGGAGGATGAGGAGTTTATAAGCGGGTTCGCCGCGTCTGACGAACGAGATCGTAAGATGTCGGGTTTCGTCGGTTGGATGGAATCGTCATTCAATTGTGAATACAATCGGATAAAGAAATCCGCGTTTACTTTATCGTTGGCTGCTACAGCTTCAGCGATTTTGTCCCAGAGAATGGCTTTATCTGATTTCGCTGCTGGCACGTCTAAAAGCGTTGCCGAGTCTATTTCTTGTGTGGTCAAGGAGATGCTTGGATTCTTCTCGATTGATGCGTCGACTTGCTCAGTGCCGGTTCCGGTGACTGATACTTCTCCGGTCGTGATGACTTTAGGGACGTTCGATAAAATCTCTTTATATTTCACGCCGGTACTCGGACGTTCTGCTGCGTTCGCCTCTGATATCTCTGTTTCTAGTGAGGGAGTAAACACGCAACTTGTGTTATTATCTCGATTGATGATTCCCTGCGAAGACTCAACGACTTAGAGCTATCGCAATGCTTACCTTTGAAAGTGTCGCTATCGTCACTTTCGGAATCCACCTGTAGGGTTTGACGTTGGGTCCCTGTTGACGAAGCCAGTGTAGGTGCATTTTGCGGTCCCTCTAAAGACGGAGTGGCTGGTCCTGTGGACAAATGACAGCAAGGCTCGTTTGCTACCAACAACTTAGGTGCGTGGATTGACTGGGGGGAATAACTAACCACTCGAGTTATCCTCTGTCGCAGCTACTGTCGTTTTGGCCGCTTTCGGCAGGTTACTTCGCGTCGTTCTCTTTGCTTGTTCGTCTACCATTGCGATATCGAGTTCTTTGATGGGAAGTATCGGTCTATTGATGGTTGTCTAGTCTGAAGTTGATTGATTATTTTGATTATTGCGTGATTCGTTCGAGTGACGTTCGTCGATTGCTTCGTGAAACTGAAAAATCTTCCGTTCTTCGACGCTGGTCCTGATGCCGCGTTCGAGGAACTCCAAGCGAGAGATGAGTGCCGAGCGATAAGTGAGAGCCGGACGTGGAGCTTGAGGGGGGAAGAATGGATAGCGGCGGAGTCTTAGGACGACGGGAGTGGGGGGAACTGAATCTCTGAAGTCTGAGCGGGCATGACTTCGATACCCGCTATCCAGTCCAGGCTACCTCCAGGCACTCGCGTGCTTGGACATTGGTGACATCCCCTGCTGGTCCTGTCACCTCCCATCACTTGTCATCAAGTGATCATTGTTTTGTCCTGGTGTACCTTGTAATGGCAGTGATTTTGATCCAATCCCCAATGAATACCAATCCGGGGATCAGATTGGTTACATTGTTGATATATATATATATATACATATATATATATGTCAACTGCCATGCTGAGCTTAGTGATCTGGTTATTCTGATAGCATAGAAAGGCAGAGCTTGTATCTCTACCATCCCCTTCTCCATTCAGAAAAAGGGTTTTCAAACCCACTTTTTAGTCTTACAAGACTGATTAACAGAAATTGGGAGGAAGCTCAGCCCAATAATCCTAAGCACAGTGGGAAAAATGGGAGTGCAGACTGCAAGTTTGCAAACCCCCATCCCTGTTTTAATCAGGACCAAAATGGTGAGCTTGGCTTGGAGAGCCTCACGTGTGTGATTCCTTGAGACAAGAGAGTGCCCTGGTGCAGCCATTTTGTAATATAGCTGCACTAGAATCTGTACCACTTGTGTAAATTGACCGAACAGTGAAGAGCCTCACATAATAATCAAGGAGAACCAAAAGGGAAACAAGACTTATTGTGAGCCCATTTGAGCAAATAAAAGTGAAATGAAAACTTAAAAAGAGATAGAATCAGATGTTTTCTCATTCATTTGATCATATGGTGAAATTAAAGAAACTTTATGTCTGATATTTTCTTTGATTTTTTGGACCACCAATATTTCAAACTATCTTTTAAATTTTTCTTAGATTCAAATACATTTCAAGCACCATTATGAGGTTGTGGAGGATTATTATTAGCTGCAGCTGCTTGTGAACCACTGGCAGCTTGTTGATTGGACTTTAACATATTTCTGATGTTATCGGCATTGACTTGAACTAGCTCTGCTGTACTTGGACTAGCAGTTCTTTCCATCAATGATTCAACTTTCATCAAGACAAATTTGGTTTTGTGAAAGATCAATTTATTTTTACAAAGAAAAAGCTGATCAGAATTTCACTCCAAAAATTATGGATTTTGTTTTTTTGAAAGGCAACTTACGAGTGCCTTCCTTTTGTGTTCTAGCTTGGTTTGCTTCCTTTTGTGTTCTAGCTTGGTTTGTCTCAGCTGTCCCAATTACTGTTTCCATGAGATTGTAATATCCCAGGTGATTGAAGTATTTGTGATTTGTTTGCAGGGGTGGGGGGAATTTTTCAAAACATATTTGGAACAGTTAGAATTAAAGAGTGAAGCATTTTTTACTGACTTCACCAATCAAAAAAATGACTGATTTCTTTGGAAGTTAGAACAAAAACCAGTGGGAATGTTGACATACTCTCATAAAACCTATCCATTCTCTTTTGGTGAAGGTGAAGCTGAGTTCTTAAAGCAACATCTTTGGGTTCTTCTTCTGCCAATTGTTTTGCAGATAAAGTTGGATGTGCACTAGAGGTTCCACAGTAGCTTATCAGATAAAAGGCAAGTAAGAAACTTGGCAATAGCATAGCTAGGGTTGACTTGATTGATAACTTTTTACTTCCAAAGCAAGAGAAACGGTGTAGTATTCAGAGAGGACAGGTTTGATTGGTTGTGGAAACTTCAGGCAGGAAATGGGCACTTATCATCTTGCAAAATTCACCAATGTGTGGTGATACCAAAGTGAAAATCTAGGGAGAACATTGCTTGCTTTCCTCAAAACCAGTATGTTGAGTCTATACTTCCTTGGACAGATACATTATTTTACTTTTGTCTCAATAAATAAATTTTTGACAGATATCTGCAGCATCAGCAAACTATATGGAAAACACATACTTCTGGGCACCTATAAGCGAGTGTTTGAGCCCCGTATGTATTTATGTAACAATTGTCATGTCTTGAACTTTGAAGAGACACTGCACCTTATAGGTGTTTAACTTGAGCCCCTTTACTCCTGTGAAACGTCAATTCCAAAAATACACACACAAACCCTCAAACCCGTGTTTTAACACAGTCCTCAAGTTACAGGTATGGTTTGATGGAGCCGTTTGACCAGGAAAAAAAAGGGATGTCTCATAAGTCATCAAGAGTAACGGTTCAAATATGAGCCGTCTTAAATAGTACGTGTCAATCGAACTTTGCACAGGAGCCTTTTGTATGAAAGGGTCGCAACGAGTCAAGCGCTTCAAAGTCTTGTTTGTATGTAATCAGCCTGACAATTGCGCTCAAACCTTTTTTCCTTAGAGCTGAGTTATGGCCACAGGTCAAAGACTACGAAAGGGGTTTTGTGTGGTGTTGATACTTATCTGGAGATTACAGTGTTGCCATGAGGAAAAACGGTCACTCAGCCGCAGGCGTGATTTGCTGGAGCTTTTCTGCCAGGAAAGATAACAGACAAGATTTCGATTGCCGTGTTTATCTTGTACTTGTTAATTTGCGGGGCCTCGGGACTTGAACGCTGATGGGAGGGTCGTAACACGCAAAACGCCTTTTTCAAGTTGGTCCCATTGAGGGAATGAGTGTGACTCAAGTAACAAGTCAAAAGCTCTTCCTGAGGAATTGCCAGAGGTTCATGAAATATGTCAGTGAAAGCTTAAGACAATGCGGTTTCACTTGATGATGATTAGGTTGATGTTCAGATAGCCTGTTTCCTTGAACATCGGCTTAATATTTGACCAACCTATGATAAAAACCTGAGTAGCACTGCCTGGTAAGGTACTCAAGTGGACACTGTACACTGTCCCTTAAGAAACACCAGTTGCCAAGAATCCATCGTCTTACATCCTCTCCCTAACCTTACATAGAAAAGGACACAAGTTCCAGAGATGGGGCAGGCTAAGTATAGTGATACATCTCAAGCAACAGCTTAATTCGTGCCTCCAAAGCTCAGTTCTTCATGAAATGAACACACACAGAGCCCGGGCAATCTTGCTTTCCTGGGTCGTGATGGGGATACAGGGCCTTGTAATCAGGAGAAGATGTAAGAGTCTGTAAGACCCCAGTTGATAAATCTTCTAGGCTATTTTTTAGACCTACTTCAGCGTACCTCTGTGATGATCATTGAGCCTAAGGAAAGCTCATTGGCAAAGAGACTCAGTGGCAAAGAGATGAGATGGCAGGAAGAAGGCCAACCATGGCACTTTTTGATATACATATGCACCTGTACCTTACTTACTCCAACTAATAATAAAAAATATTCAAGGATTTATGTGGGCTTATGATAGATAATTAGAGTAGAGATCCACAAAAAAGAAAAGAAAGGGGGGGGGGGAATGTGTACCACGAAAAGAATAAAAAGGCTTGCAAAAGAAATACAATTCTTGTGGTCATCAGCAAATTTAAAGATTTGCCAAGCAATTCCCATGCTGAGTACAAGCCCCACTCCAATTAAGAAAAGATAGACACGAGATGATTGAGATGAAGCAATTTTAGGAGGACTGCCTACTTACATAGGTTTGTATTGAAAATGTGACTCTCTCCACCATGAAAAATTTGAGGGCAGTACATGTCAGGTGACATGTAGCTAACTCCTGCCTTTATTCCAGTGTTACTTCAAAGTCAAAGGGTTGGGACTCCCTGATGACCACAAAGGGAAAATTGTTATTTAAGCAGACAAGCACCAGAGTAACAATGGAGTTGTAAAATATGTCACTTCATGTCACCTGACACCTACTGGCCTCATATATTTCCTGGTGCTCTATGGTTTCATGTAGAGTTTGAAGGTCAATGACCAAAGTCTTTCTTTTTTGCATCGTATACAAAGTGGAACTATTCAGGGTTTTATGTTGATACCAAAAAGAAGTCTCTTGGAATGGGACCCTTTGGGAAGGACGTGTCCTCCATCTTACATCTTACATGTTTCCTCCTCAATATTCATCTTCTGATCTTGTCTTCATTTCTGCTCGCCTCGATTTCATTACAAGATCTTCCAGACCAAGTTTTTAATCTTTGGATTGATTCTTTGTTCGTTTTTGTCAATCATCACTTTTCGAACGTTGCACCTGAAAAAAAAAAACGGGAAGACGTTTGATATTGAATTACATTGGATTCACTTGTTTCATCATGTGTGTTTTTTCAGAAAGAGAGGAACGAGAAAGATCATTGTGTTTGTGCTCCATAACTAAAAAATAATAATACAAGAAATGAACAAAAGCCAAAAATGTGCGTGGGTTTGCACATGATTGAATCGGACAATGGAGAAAGGAAAGAAGCAGATGATTAGTGATTTGGTGTGTAGGATATGGATAAATTGGAGGGGTTTGGAACTGACCCTCGAAGTCCTTCGGCAAAAGCCCATTCAGTTGGAGCTTGAATAGGCTCAGAGATTTCGACGCCATCGACTGTGATATTAGCGATTTGAAACTAAACAAAAGAAAACTGATGAGTGGAGGAGTGGAGAAAGGATGAATTTAATAAGAAGAGCAGACCTTATTCAAGCTTCTAGCGTCCCTATAAAAGAGGACTTTCATGGATTCCTCGAGAGTTTTACGAGCGAGTTCGGGGGTGAGATCAAGATGACCATTAGGCAAGTCATCCAGAACCTTACGAAGCAAGGGTTGGGCGATATAGCTCCCATATCCGGTCGCGATACTCGGTGCAGAATAGGTGGTGCCGATCAGATCGACATAGGAGAGGAAACCCTCTTGGCTGGCTTTGTCGATCCCTCCTACTACAAATGAGTTCCATAACGGGTTCCCCTTCGTTCGTCGGTTGTACATGATCCGGGCTAGATATTCGAAGATCTGTGGCGTCTTTAGGATGTGGCCATCGTCTGCTAAGACTTCCTCCGTCCTGTATTATTGTACATTTTAGATAACAACCCACATAGTATGATTGTAAGCATCTAAACCATCTTTCTTTTAACTTGGAATGTTTTCTTCTGTTAAATCTTATGAAAAAAGACGTTACATTCGAGCTTCCAAGACCTTCTGGATATATTGGAAATCCGACAGATCTCCACCAGCACCAATAACGGTATGTTCTCCGACGGGGACTAATCGTCTAATATCCTTGAACCGAGCCAGAGATCCGTATGAAGCTATGATGGGACGAGTGAGTTGGAAGAAAGGATAGGCACGAGTAAAATTCTATCATGCTTCGTACTTGATCAATCATCTCAATGAGAATCGCAGCTTACCTAACATATCAGCAGCCAACATCACCCCGCCTTTGTATTTAATTCCAAGGACCGAAGTACCAGTGACGATAGGTTGTCTGGAAAATGATCAGAATTAACCAGATCAGCCGTGTCTCTTTTTTACAGGAAAACGCAACGGAGACCGCGAGTGAGGGGGACTGACTGAGTATGTTGGACGCCATCAGCGAAGGACTGTTTGTTGTTGAGATGTTTGGCGCTGCTCACTGGGAAAGTGGCGTATGGATCGATCGAGTCGTCTCTTGGTTTGCCCCACGATGTTCCAGGGAAATGGTCCATTGCTGTTTCAAGAGATGTTGTTGATGATGGTCAATGGCGATGTTGGTGAGATGGTGTTTGGTTCTAGTTGGTGGTCATGAAGGAGTCAGGTGAAAAAGACCTGACCATACATACTGACTGTCTCGGTCCTGCTTACGTCATCACCACTCCCGATCGATGACGCGGCTTAATAGAACCAGGGTCCAGGATCCCCCATCCGGCCAGTTCTCCTCTGAACTTGTACATACAAAGATGAAGAGAGCTCAAGAAACAGCATCATCATGCACGGTATCAGTCAACCTCATCCAAGATCCTCACAAGAAAAACTAGGCAGATCCGAATCCAGCGTCCATTCTTATTATTCAATCGAAATCCATCATCATTTATAACCGACTCGAACTGGGACTCCCAAATGTTTTCTCATTCTTCGATCCTCAGACTGCAATCCAGACGAAGTATTCCCTCAGATGGATTGAGTCTCTCTCACGTATTTGCCCCATCCATCATCCTACCTATCTATAATCTCTTTTTGTCCTTTCTCTCTCGGCTTAAACTGATAAACTTTTTTCCCTTGTTTGGATTTTGCTTTTGTTTCTTCTAGTTCGTATTTCAGACTAAAATCAGATCATTATATCGGAACATCTTAAGAGAAACTAGATGTAAATACTTCAATTTACTTTTCTTTTTTTTTAGAGACGGAGTAATGAAGATGATCACTAAATTGACTTGATGCTGAGTGTGTGTGTGATGGAAATTGAAACATATATTATGCAGATTTAGGAACAAATGAAATTCGTCAAGAAACGATATCATGGATCCGATATGAGTTCATGAAACCAATCTTACTCCAAGAAAAAAGAATGGATGAGGTATAACGAAATCTCCAACAAACCACTCTCTTTCAAAGAAATCACCCTTGCTAAATTTGTTTTCTTTTTTTTGATTCAAGCGTAACAATCAAGACTTCATAGCTCAAATTAATCGGCAATTGAAACAGATTAAGAATTCGAGTATGTTAATTGGCGGAGGGTTTGAGAAGCTCAGGGGAACCCGAAATCGATAATTTCACAATAACCACTTCTTTTCACGAAACAAACAAACAAACCTACATGTAACTGGTCGACTCTTTTATATATTCTTACAGTGCTGGAGGCAGTTTGTAAGATTCTTTCGAACAGGCTTCGTCTATTGATTACTTAACCGTAGGCTAAGCCGGCTTTACCGCTTCATTTTGAGTGGTTCACCTTGAATTAGAGCTGTTTATAAACACGCACTACAGCGGCATAGAAACATGTCAAAATAACTTCCATATACCGTACCAACGGTTAAGAATTCGACTTGAAGCGATAGTTATGTTTGACAAGTTTCAAGACACCTTGGCCGAATTGCTCCGCACGGCCAAGGAGATGAATTCTTGACATAAGGCGATGAAGCCACTGTGAGTCAACCTGATGGATCTAAAGCTTTTGAGGAACAGATCAAAGCTCATCTACAATTCACCCTTGATCACCATCTCCACTCGGATCTATTTGGGCATAATTATTCAAGTGTGCTTTCCAAAGATCATTGCCTGACGTGAACCACAGATTTTGGGGCAGTGATTGAGTTCAAAGGCTTTGGGTTCCAAAATTTCATTGAGGTTATCCACCTCTTGGGAAGGAAGGCCCTGTTTTTTTTTTTTTTTTTTTTTTTTTGCACTTCATCCCTGTTTGAACATGTTTTTGGTGTTGTTTGTGGTTGTAACTTGTCTTCTCCCACGTTTATTTGATTCTTTGGGCCAACTTCTCATCATCTGAAATAGGGTGTTTTGGAAAAATTACACATAAACTTGATGCAACTGGTGTGCACTCCTTGACCCAGTGAAAGTTCATAATATCAACAACTGTGCAGTCCAGCTTGATGCAACAGTAGGCAGGGCAAGAACTGGCAGTCATTACAGGGTGGCCTCCCGGACTTTTCATTCTATCCAGTAGAGATGTCAGCAGGTATGCCAAAGCGGGTACCCGGCACCTATTTTCAGGTACCTGTTTTCCAAAGCAGGTACCAAGAAACAGGTGCTGGGTGCAGGTGCAGGTGTTGACATTTGAGGTGAAAAAACAGGCAGGTACCCACTGTGGTAGTCAAAAATGTGAAAAATTCAAACTTTTTTATTCCTTTCTTTTACATATGTTTTCTCCATATTATCATCCAATCACTCTCAGAAATCACCCTATACGCCTCAGGAAATGGACTCTATGGCTTAATTAACCCTTGGTCACCATGGAGGTATCACTGAAACACACCTGGATCAACACTTACCCCCCAAAGGACACTAACTTGAGACAATTCCCGGGCTTCTGCAGGCCTGGTGACCTTGGCTGGCTGGCGCCACTTGCGAAGCAAGACTCCGAAGGAGGGACTTGTGACAAATACGCACAAGCTTGCGTGTCACTATTGACATGTTTTGGTGTAGCAAAATTTGGATTGCCCACCATGCATGTAGTTTAACTTTTTTTTTTTTTCAGGCAGATCCAGCATGGTCAAAGTTGAGCATGTTGCCAATCTTCTCAACAAATTTTAGGGATTTTTCCTGAAATTCAGATGAGTAAGATTTTTTTGAAAAATATGAAATATTAGAAAAATCAAAGAATCCAAGTTGAGTTGCTGTTGTGACCTAGGTCACATGGTGTGACTCGGCTGCGGCTCAGCCAGCCGGAGGAGACTACATCCGTCTCCTCCGGGCCACACCTACCGGAATCCATACCAATTACACCCTCTGAGTCACTACAGTTGCAAGCCTTGAGAAGCTATTACATAAGCAAAAAACCCAAATCTGAGCGGAACCTTTGACAATTACAAAGTTTCTCTAGAATTTAGTTGTACAGTGGGTGGACCGTTATTTTTGGCTGCTTGTTTTGGATTCTACAGCTTCAAAGCACAAACTTTGAGTCACAAGACTTGGTGAAGTGGTGCAGAATAGGTCCCAAAAAATGAATATGAAAAAAAAAAAGTTTCAAATTTTGTGATAAATAAAAAATGAAAATGTTTTTTTTTCCAAAAGCTTTGTTATTCATTTTGGGGGAGTGGGAGTGCTGAGAGAAACAAAGAGTGGAACATGGCAAGAATGATTATAAATGAAAAAATTGGAACCAAAAAAGGTTCATCCAGGTTGGTTGTCCAGATTGGAGTCAAAACAGTAAATTCTAGTGCTTTACTGCAATGTGAGCTGGTGAATGCCCCACTCAACAACTGGTTAAAACTATCTGGTAACCACTTTTTCCAAAATTTTCATTTATAATCTTTCTTTCTTTCTCTCTTCACTCACACTTCCCCAAAATTAATATCAAAGCTTTTGAAAAAGGGCTTGGGAAAAACGACTCCCGTTTTTTTGCCAACGACTCCCAACGACCGTCAGCGGACGTCCGTTGGGAGTTGTCTTCTAAAGTGCGGGCATATTCTGGGAGTCGTCCGCCCAATTTCAATTTCTTTTTTTTTTATTTTTTTCATTTTTTTTTGGGAGTCGACTCCCCAAACCACCCCTCATGTGTGAGGGGGTTTGGGAGTCGCTCCCATTATTCCGGAAGGCAGATGAGGTGCAGCTTCCTCATGAAAAGCATGAGAGTCCTTACGGGCGATGAGGAGGTTAATCCTCATCAACCGGAAGGAATTCCTTCCGGTTGATGAGGTTTAGCTTCCTCATTGACCGAAGGAGAGTCCTTCCGGTCGATGAGGAAGCTATACCTCATCAACCGGAAGGAATCCCTTCCGGTCGATGAGGATTAGCCTCCTCATCGACTGGAAGGAATCCCTTCCAATTGATGAGGAAGCTGTACCTCATCGACAGGAAGGAATCCCTTCCAGTCGATGAGGTTGGGGGGTTCGAAGCGAGGGCTTCATCGACCGGAAGGACTCTCCTCCGGTCGATGAGGAAGCTAAACCTCATTGACCGGAAGGGGTTCCTTCCGGTCAAGTGGGAGGGAGCGACTCCCAAACTCCCTCATACATGAGGGGTGGTTTGGGGAGTCGACTCCCAAAAAAAAAATGAAAAAAATCAAAAAATTGAAATTGAAATTGGGCGGACGACTCCCAGAATCCGCCCGCACTTTAGAAGACGACTCCCAACGGACGTCCGCTGACGGTTGTTGGGAGTCGTTGGCGAAAAAACGGGAGTCGTTTTTCCGAGTCCCTTGAAAAAAATCAATTTTATTTTTTACTTTTCACAAAATTTGAAACTTTGTTTTTTGTTTTTATTTTTTCATATTCATTTTTTGCGACCTATATCTTCTGCACCACTTGACCAAGTCTCATGACTTTAATCTGGTGCTTTGAAGCTCTGGGATCCAAAATAAGCAGCCAAAAACAATGGTCCACCCACTGTACATATTTCTGGATATTTTCTTGATTAGAATTTACTTTAGCATCTTGGGCATGCTGTCCCAGATTTTTCCCCTATAAAAGTTAAGAGAGTGATCTACTAGAATTTTTTTCACAAAAAACACCCTAAAAACGCGAAAGCAACACGCAGGTGTGTTCATTTTAGGCACAAGCCTCTCCCGCACTTTGTGCGTTTGACGGAGAGGCTGAGCAAGCTAGCAATGGACAACATATCAAAAGGCTTTCACCCATCAGTTACATGTAACCAATCACAATTACAACCCTCAAGCTTCACCTCTTACACTTCACTTATACTAAGGAATAGTGTGGCTGGCGCCATGTGTAATCAACTGCGCAGGCAATGTCTTTAAGAAATTACACCAATGAAAAATACAAAACCATAATTCCTAATCACTCACACAGTTTGTATGTGGCGTTTGAGCAATGATTGATTTACAACATTTGAGGTGATTGTGTCTGCACAGTCTGACAACAGACCAATACAAAGACTATTTAATGAAGTAACACACAACAATCCAACATACAACTGTCCATGTCCAAAAACAGGACCTGGAGAGCAAAGTCCTACTTTGTCTAATGGTTGACCTTGGCATTTATTTATTTTCAAGCAAAAGGCACTAACAATTAGTCCACCCTTTTTTGAGTATTTTGGTTATTCATTTAACCCCTTTTGGAGCCCATTGATTCAAAAAATCTTTTGGGAAAAGTGACTGGATTCTGATGGTGGATTTCCTATATTTGATACCCCCTACTATAGAGAAAATGTGTTGGCAATCAAATCACATGTGCTTTTAAATCCTTACATCTGTCAAGATTGCAGGAATCCAACATTTGTGATGTGATAATTAATATTCAATTCTGCATGAAAACACAATCTCCCCAGCATGTATCTCAGTGACTTTCATAAAGCCTTTAAGCTACAATAATTCAAAAAAGACAATACCTTCACACCTCAAATAATATGGGAGAAATATAGCAGTTCAAATGGTATATAGTCATTCCCTTCAACCAAATGAAAAAATAAGGGAAAAGATATCAAACTTCATGAGACCCCATCTGATCAGGAATACTTGCATTTTAACAAGAAAGCAAGATTTTGCCATAGATAAAATAAAGCTGCACTATCAAACATTTGATCTAGATAATGTTTCAGGGTTTTGTAAAATTAAAAACATGTTATATCTGATACTCAGTTCAGCTTTTGTGACTATCATTTCAGTCTATGCTTTCAAAACCTGTTACATTCAACTTTTTCTTTTTCTAGCCACTGAATCTTGACGAATTTCCTCAATTGTTTTAGAAGTTTTATCCAAAAATCCATTCATTTTATCCAATTGTTTATTAAAGTTTTCCTCCTCTTGATCAATCTTCTTGTTGACTGCTAAAACAACAGCTTCCCCTAATTGTTTTACTGAACATGAAAGTTTAGTTTTGGTATTCACCCATTTTTTGTGAAAAAAGAAATAATTCAATCCTAAATTTAGGACTCAGGCTGTGGACAAAAACTTACCATCAACCTCCAAGTTTTTGTCAGATTTTAAATTTGATGCTGTTTCATTAGGGGGTATCAAATATAGGAAATCCACCATTCAAAACCAGTCACTTTTCCCAAAACTTTTTTTTGCTTCAATGGGTCCCAAAAGGGGTTATATGAATAACCAACATGTTTAAAAAAGGGTGGATTTTTTCAAACCAGTCAATTAAATAATGGTGGATTTGGTTATATTTGATACCCCCTATTGTACATTGATAAAATTTATTCACAGGGTCTTTCTTTAGCAAATTTTCCAACACACAGAAAAAAATAATTCCTCCTTCCAAAAACTGAAACACAAATAATTGGGAGTGAAGACATACATTGGGAAGCTCTTTCCATTCTCTTGTGGAGGTGGTGAAGTTGAGCATCTAGATCAACACCGAGTTCTCCTTTTTCCAAATTCTTTGGAAATGCTGCTGGGTTTGTAGATATCCCATGGCAACACAAGATATGAATGGCAAGTATGATACTTGGAAATAGCATGGCCTTCACTTTGGTCTGATTTTGTTTTACTTGAAGTGAGATTTGAAGATGTTTATTTATGAAGGATGAAAGTAATTGTGAAATTCAAGTCAGGGAAGACAGGGAGAATTTATAATTCCTTCCTACCCACTCATGGGTGATGATACCAAAGTACAAAGATAGGAACATTGCTTTTTTTCCTACCTCAAAATGGTATGAAAAGTTGTATAAAAGTGTATAATATTGATCAGATACAGGATTATAATCTGGTTTCAAAAAACCATCCTTATATAGAAATACGCAATATGAAAGAGCTATAGAAAGCTGGGATTACAACACATTCAGCCTTTTTGATTTTCAACATGAAACATGCCATTTTCAATCAACCATTCAAATTCAATTCTGTGGAACTGCAAGTGGAAGCTCAACCTTGAAACCTCACTTAAAAATACTCCAACACAAGTCCCAAAATGTTCACTTTGTTTAAAGTTTGGTTTGATCAGGATTTTTGATAAGGTGACAAGTCTTTAATTATACCCAGGTTGTAAAGATAATGTTTGAAGTTCAACTATTAGGATTCAACAGTTTTAAATTTCAGTCTAACTTTGCACAAGACCTTTTGGTGTGGGGGGACTTAGTGAGTTGAAGCTTGAAGTGACATGGGAGAGACAATTCCTGTGATTAATTTTCCTGCAGTTCCAACCAAGGAGTTTTGAATTAGCATGGCAATTGGTGTTAAATTTGTTTGCTGTAGATATGAGCAGCAGTCAAAATGGTGATTGTGTGGAGGAAATAAGGTTTACTTGAGTTTTGAACTGACACTTACAGTACTAGCCTGGAATTATCATGTGACCAGGTAATGCTTAAATATTGGCAAATATAACAAGTAAATTACAAACAGTACAAATGTCAAAGTAACTTTTAATAAGCTTTCTGTGTATTGCTGTACTTTCCTGACCAAATCATGATGAATGAGGAAACTCCAATGATGAGGTGTATTCTTGGGAACATCAAGGGAAAAAGCACCCTGAAACTTCCAAGGGTTTTTAACATCAAGAGAAGGCCCTGAATATATCTATGTAATACATCCACAGAGTTTCGGAGTAAATATGTGATTTGTGGTGGTAGGAAAAAAAGTTCTTGGTTTGATACTGATGCTATGGGTATAATGCTGATCTGTCAGAAAGTCTGTTTCTGTGAGCATTCACTTGTGTTTGAGAACCATGGCCTGAATTCAGTCGCTTGATAACCAATTCAACACTCACATGTCTCTTTTGGATATCTTCCATGCTTGGAAAGAGCTGATTTTATCAACTGTACCAGTGTACTCACTGTTGAACCAAATTTTACAAAAAATTCACAAAGAATTAGGTGCATGAAATCAATGGGTGTTGATAATTCAGTGGGACTTATGCTAGTTAGTGCATCCCACCATATGATTAGGCCAGAATGATGTGGCCTCAATGAGTTGAGGTCTTATTGATTTCCACAGCAAAAAAGGTATTCCTCCAATTGTGAGAACCACAATCCATGTTTGAGTATTTTTCCATCATGCATGATGAAATTATCAATTCTTGTGAGAGCTGACAATTTCACTAATATTGCAAAAGTTTTTATGGGGCTCATTACTCAATAGTTCAATAGATCATTATAGATTTTTTTTTATATTTCATCCAAAGTATTGAGATGAATACGCTGGAGACTTCAGATCATCTTCCAAGGCATAATGCATGGCACAAGCCTAGGAGGATACTCCAACACATGCAGAGTTTCAGCACTTGGGTACCTGCTCTGGGTGTGATGTCCACATGTTGACCGGGCCACTTTCCCCCACAGGTAGCCATAATGCTTGAACAGAAATCAATGAATTGATGCCTGGGCATTTTATATGAAATTGGAATTCAAAATTGGTGCCTCCAGGATTTTCCACTTTGAGGAGTCAATTGCCTTTCTTATTCATGAACAGGATCTTCTCCACTAAGGCATCCCAAGAGACTTTGATCTCCTTTTTGATGAGTTTATCCTTCGTTCTTCCTTATTCAACGTTGTCTCCTAGCAGCCATGAAGATCTGAGCTGCACTAGGCAGAGTTGCTCGACTTTCATTTCATCTGATTTGGTATGTGCGTAATAGCTACGAATGCATATGCATATACATATGCATATGCAATATTCAACGTCTGATGCGCGAGAGAGTTTCAAGGAAATATTTCTCAAGTTTCCGGCAGATTAACAAACACCTACAAACTATAATTATTAGAGCAGACATCTCAATCCAGTTGAACTTCCAGTCACGACAACAAGAACGACGAGGACGACGAATAAAAAAGTCAAGACGAAGGAGAGATGGCAAGAACCAAAAATACCAGAAGAGGGAAAAAGAAACCACAAACAGTCGCCGAAAACCAAGAACAGGAGTCCGAGCAAGTTTTGAGCGAACAGAAGGAGGCGAATGATAAGCAGACAAATGCTGATGATCCTGGCGAGCTAGAAAAATTAATTGACCAAGCCGAACGTCTCTTGATCACCTCGGATTTCGAACAAGCAAAACAACTCTGTCAGCAAGCCTTGGACGCCCAAAATACTCACTTGAGAGCTTTGGAAACGTTGGCCCTGAGTGAACTAGAATTGGGTGAAATCAAATCGGCTAGAAAAGTGAGTTTTTAAATGCACATTTCTCTTCCTATTTTTGAAACAATTCTACCTTCATTTTATTCAAAAACTTATTATTTTTTTCTTATATTTACGAAATACTATAGATATTTCAAAAATGTTTGAACCATTCCAAATCGAATCCACCACCTACGGTTCATTTATATCTCGCCCAACTCTCAAATTCACCTCAAGAGGCCCTGGGCCATTTCAAAAAAGCGCTCGACTTGTTGAAAAATAAATTAAATCAAATCCTACTAGCTAAAACCAACGAGGAACTTGCTCAGTCGAATAATGATACCATTCAAAAAACTACCACCCAACATACTAATCAATCTAATACAGTTCAGTGGTCGATCGACGAATCTCAAATTCGGAGAAGTTGTAGTAGGGCTTTAGTTGGGATGACCGAGATTTATTTGACTGATCTATGGTATGTCACATTCACTTTTTTTCTCTAAAATTAGAATAATAAACCAAGAGATAGTACACTTTCTCTGCCCAAAAGAAATTGACCGATTTCTTGATCATATCTTGAAAAAAAAAAGTTTTGATCCTTCAGCAGAGGAGAAATGTCTAGAATATTTAGCGATGGCGTCCTCGATAGATCCGACCGATCCAGAGCCACTTCAAACGCTTGCATCAGTGAGATTATCGCAATCAGAGACGAATTTAGCGAAAGAGGCATTACTATTATCATGGTCGTTATGGCGAGATAAAGTTCCGATACCCAAACGATCATTGAGCGGACGATATTATCAAGCAAATGAGGAATGTATGGTAGACGATGAAGAAGAACAAGGAGAAGATGAAAATGAGAACGAGGAGGGGGACGAGGAGGCAGATCGAACGATGGATTCAATCGACTCCAAGATGATCATAGCCGAAGAAGCTTTGATAGAGGAAGAACAAGAGGAAGAGCACGATGGGGAGATCGTTCTACCGCCGATCGACAGCCGAATCCAATGGGCTAAACTGGCGATCGAATGTGAGATCTGGAACTCAGCAATCGAAGTCCTCCACCAATGCGAAGCCGAAAACGATGAGGATGGTGAAGTCGAGTACTTACTGGCTGTCAGTTGGTTCTTGCTCGGTCAATCTCGACCTGCTATCTCTAATCCCGACCAGTCTACTTCTACCATTGTCGAGCCCAAGGTCGGCAATCCATTCTCTGATTTCGCTGTTGGCGATGGACTTGGACGATTGGAGTGTTGGCTGGAAGCTAAAGAATGTATCGAAACCTGTTTACAAGTAAGCTTCGATCTCTTCTTCTTCTTGTTCACTGTGAAAGTCTCGTTGACTCAAAATTGTCTTTTTTTCACTTAGTTACATGAAAGATTAGGTGAAGATAGCGGAATCGATGAAAGTATTCTGAAACATCTCAACGAATTGAAGCTGGAATTGGCCAATGGTGGACTGCCAATTCAAAGCACTAATGGGGAAGAGAAGGAAGCAGAAGAATTGAATGAAGACGAGATTAATGATGCTGATTGGGTCGATGCTAGTGACATTGAAATGGGTTGATTCAACCCATCGTTATTCTTCATTGTTTTATCGTATGATATTCCCGTCCCCAAAGAAGAAGATACCATCCCCTCTAGTCCCCCTTACTATAATCCATACAACGGTCTCATCAAAGAACATGACTCGGCGCGGATGATAATCGAAACATTCACTTGATTCTTCCAATGTCCTTATTCCCTCTTACTTTGTTCTAGTTTTGTGAAGGAGCACCAAGAAAAAAACAATGTAATTAGATAAAACAAAACCATATCATTGTATGACTGAATGATGAAATAAATACTGACTCAAAAGGTATTCCGTATTACTTGGCTGTTTCCTACTGACCATGCTTTGTGACACTGCACTTTTGGCAAATTTCACTTGAACTTTGAAATATGTGAGTTTTCTTTTATCTCAAAAAGGGCAATAATTTGAGACAGCATTGTCACACAATGATAGACTATTGACATCGCTTCATTTAAACATGGCTGAGAAAGTGTATTTGTTATCATCAATATTGGTGATGGTATCTGTATCTAACATGTAACACCAATCATAAGAGATCATAAGGGTACAGATTTTGTTTCTGTGTTGTATAATGTGTGATGATGTTTCCCTAACTTGCGGCTCGCACTATATATTTTTTATTCCAATTTGAGTGACAAAAAAACGGTATTCATGCCCAAGTCATCACGCCTGAAAATAATGTGCTGCATTATCAGGCAACCATGAGTTGTTACCAGTTCAAAATGATATTCTAGGGTACGATGGTGCCTCAATTTTATATATCAAATAAACACTTGCAATGTTGCCCCAGTTAAGTATGTACAAGCAACTTACAAAGAGTGTTGTTCTCTTACTCCGTCTCCTAAACTGGGACGACTTGTGACAGCCAGCGGGTTTTTAGACGACGTGCTGCCCTGTCCCACCAACGCGCCCTGGGTGGGTTTCAATGACTGCTCCAAGGCTGCCAGTTCTCGTCCGGACACCTGCTCAAAACTCACTGGAGCGCATCAATATTTCGACTACAGGTTTTGTTCCTTGCACTCAAAGTTCCAAAGTATTGTATCAGGCAGCTGTGTCATATTTGTAGACCATGGACTGTTATGAGCCTACTTCCTTTCAACTTGTTTACAATGGAGGCCAATGTGTGTCGGATGCGCATACACCCACATACCGATGATATCATTTGGTTTGAAAGAAGTTGAAACATCTGCTTCTTCAAAACTTAAGGATAGCGGTATGTCCTGTCACATTTATGATAAAATGTCCAGATTCTTGTGAGTCTTACCGTTGCCCTTCTTGCTCCCCATATCTCCTTGTGCATTCCACCCATTCACATCTTCCTTACAAACAGTTTGCTCTTTTGGAAGCTTGACCGTGCTATATACTATGACCCGGCCAGGATTCTTCCTTCTCAACATAGCTCTGTGCACCCTACACCTAGTGAACGCTGCGTTTGTGTCAGATCGTCCTGTCTTTAGAAACTTTGACGGTAGTCCGGGTGAAGCTTCAATCTGCATTATGTGCTCAAGTCTTTTGGTGGCTGATAAGTGTGTGTAACTTTATTGGGCGCAAACCCGCTTGTCCACGTGCACAGAATTTCTCAAAAGCTACGATTACGATAGAGCAAACACAGCACCAGAGTATAGTGTGCAATCAAGTCAGGGCAGTTCACCGGACGCACCAGGTTAGTTGCGAAGTCCCCGAATCAAGTTGATAACATTAAATCAAGGCAAAAATTTGCTAATTTCTAAAATGACTGATCGTTTTCAACCTTGCCCCGGGCCCAATGGCGTTAAAGCTGATGGACTGGATCTGAATTTTCCTCCAAGCATAGAGCCAACCCATAATGTAGGTCAAGGCAAAGAAATTGTTGAAGTTGATTCTCCTCTGGGGAAGCGTGTACGTCTCCATTCAGTTGAGGAGGGTGCGAGTAGCCAATCTTTGAAGAAACCATTCCGCCAAAACATTACCACAAAGCCAAGTAGTCAGCGTATGTTTACCGCAAAAGAAGAAAAATTATACAAAGCGGCTGAGCAGGAATACTGTCAACTTCCAGAGTGGCAGAGAAAATATTTCAATCATGCGAATTGGCATCAGTCAAATGCGGACGCAACCGATGGAACAACTAGTAAGCCGGGTATCAAAAGGATTTCTGAGGCGCAGCCCTTCATCTTTGTCGATATCCAAATGCAAAGAATAAAATTGGCAGGTCCCAATTCTCACGTCATGTCAAACAAACATCAGGAGCAAATTCCAGAAGTTACAAAAACCACCTTCATGACAAGGGTTAATCATATCTTTGAAGCTTTGAATATCTTCCACAGGCTGTTGGAGTCAAATGAAGCAGCTAAACTGAAGCTGGGAATCACACAGAATACTGGGAGAATACTATTTGACTGGTTCAAATCAATCTTATTAAAAAAGATGGATGAAATTTTACCATCCCAGTCTGTAAACTCAGAAAACTTAGTTCACATCAGTCCTCAAGCCTATTTATCAAACTTTTTGACCACTAAAAAGAACTTTACAAGAAAAGATGCACAAAAGACAGCAATTTCATTGATGGCAATGTTCTATAATGAATGTGGTACAACTCATTCCCGTCAATTGCTAACATCAAATCCAAATCTGGAAGATTACCAGCACACAATTTTTGAACTTTTGAAAAATATTCCAAATCCTAAGGAAGCTCCAGAGGCTGAAATCTCTATAGGTCACATAAATCAAAATCAATTACATGACTTCTTTTTGAAAGAAAAAATGCATGAAGTCACAGGGGCTGAGCAATATTCAAAGTTCTTATTTTGGGAAAATACATTAATCAGAAATAATTTCAGGAATAACTGATTCCAATAGTGTTTGCATCCATCGAAAAGGTTCGATTGCACTGGAGTGAAATCCCTCCCCAATCCCTCTGTTGGTTTTCACCAGGCCATGCCACATCATATTTTATAATCAATTCTCACTTTTTAATCAGTCTCCCTCCTCCTCTTCTACCTATATCACAGGGGAGAGAATCTTTGCCATCTAGGAAGTGCACCCCTATTTTCTCTCTGCCTCTCATTTCATCTTCTGTCTTTTTGCTTTCAAATTCTTGTACTTACAAGATCCTTTCTCACCAATTTTGAGTCCTTGAAATGCACATCCTGGTTATAGACAACTTCCTGTGCTGGTGTCTCACAGTGAAAAAAGGTCCTTAAACCCTTCCACTTAACACCTTCTGATAACACCATTCTTTAGTGAGACTGCCAACTTAACACAGCACAGTCATTATAAAATTCAACAAGAATCCTTGATAATGGCCCATTACCAAATGTGCATAGGCTGTGATATTGTTTACCATATTAATTGAAATCTTTTTAAAATCATTATGGCCTTTATTTTGTTTTAAAAATGGGTATCATTACAATGAAAATCAGTACCCGGCGGTACCCAGGGTACCACCCTTTTCTTACTCAAAAAAAAGCACTAGGGACCACCTTTGGGGTACCAGTAGTGCTTGAGGCAGATACTAAAGGACTTTGAATAAAGACACCATTTCAGAGGATGAAGTCTACTTGTTTCACTTGCAGGTGGATGCCATGGCAAGTGTGCCAGAGCAAGATGATGGATAATATATGTAAGCTGAAGCAAATAAGGTGGTGATTGAATATTGGAGAAGGGGATGGGGACACCACCCCCACCCCAACTGGCACTTCCCAGTGGGTGAGGATGGTACCCACACAGCTAGTGCCAGGTACCAACAAAGGCTTCTGATTGGAATCTTTAGGGCATGATTACCATCAATAAAGATGAAGAGTAATTAAAAAACAGAATTCTCAGTACCAGGTATGCTAGTACACTATCAATAGACATAACATATCTGACCAAAAGATGAATAAAATATGTGCCTCTGTGTATTTCTTGACTATGCACATTTAGTTGTTTATGCAAATGAGCTGAGTGAGCACTGGTCAATCTAGGAACATTGATTGAAGGAGCTTATTGAATATGCAAGAGTAAATGGAAGCAGTTAAAAATTTGAAAGCCCATTTCACGAGCAGGAATCACAATAATCAAGAAAAGAAAGATTGAGATGAAAAGAAAATGGGCATGTTTCTAGAAAACTTGATCCAATCTTTTGGGCTTTGAAACTTTATATTCTGTTTGAGTTTTTTTATTCTGATTTGAGCCAACATTCTCATTTTTTTTTGGAATTTTGACTCAAGTTATTTGGCCTTATTGGGTTCTTGATTGGTTTTTGTAGCGAGAAAGCCTGTTCTTTGCAGAACCTCTCTCTGCATCTCAGTTAATTTAGCCTTCCCTTTTGCAATGTTAGATTCTACCTGATCAAGTCTTTCTTGATTGTATGCAGCTTCATCATTTTTTCATAAAGCATAAGTTTAAGATTCTGATACAGAATTATTGGTGATTTGATTTGTTGAAGAAAACTTACTTTTTGCCTTGATTGCAGCCAATAGTTCTTCGTCGGTTAATTTCTTTACACCTTTATGGATTTTTAAATTCCCCAAAAATTCATTTTTTTTTGTTTTATTTTGTGGGTTTAGGGAGGTTTAAAGCATCCAAATTTTAGATCCGGAGTTGACAAGAATGACTGCTTTCCTTATAATCATAATTTAAAGAAGGAAAAAATGGGGAAGGTAGACATACCACTGGAAGATGGTTCCATCCTCTTATTGAGGTGGTGAATTTGAGTTTCAACAGCTACACCTTCAATTTCTCTCTTTGCCAGATTTTTTGGATATAAGCTTGGATGCGCTGAGATTATATAGCAATTTAAGAGATTAAATGCACATAACAGACTGGATAATTGCATGACTAGGGCTGGCTGGATGTTTTTTCTTTTTTCACAAAAGTAATGATAGCTACAAATTAAGCAGTTGGGATGTGGATGATTGAGAAAATCTAGGAAGGCAGAGCATTATTATATCCTCAAGCTTTCCGCCAAATTTTGTGGTAATAACACAGTGCAAGCATGTGTACACTGGTGTGTGCTTTTCCTCAAAACCAATACA